GCACTCAAGATCATTATTTGAAATGAGGAATTTTGAAAATCGAGCAAATGAAAGATTCTTCTTAAACCACTGTGTAAGCACACCATCTGGAACATTGCTCTGACTCATTTTTCCCTTAAATAACAAATATGGCAGTGACTAAGGCAACTTTAGCAACAGATTGAACTGCCCTAACTCTAGATCATATGGTCTTTAGTAAATGATATTCTCATAGCTAGTGGAACACCTTTCCCTATATTCATGGAGATATAACTTTATATTTTCTATGGTAGGGAGAATTACACTAAAACAAGCTGTAAAAGATCAAAGATTTTTAAAGATACTTTAAGATACCAACACAATAGTAAGCTGTTTCCCTCACCCTGTTCTCTTTATAGTAGAAAATGTAAATTGCCATATTTCTTCTTTTCCTAAAATGTGCTTATTAGATAACTTCCTAACCAATTTTTACTCATGGATGATTCAATAAGTTAGTCACTATTTTCCACAAAAGGAATTACTTAGGATAATAATATTATCATAAGAAACATAAAGTTTGAAATATCTGTGTTCTCGTCTTTGCTTTCCCCATTTAAATTAACTCTCAATTAAACATCTGTCTAGATGTCTAAATATCTGGATTTTTGCCTTTGCTTGTTAACTTACTCATGAGTTTCCACGATTTTTCAGAACCCAATGCTTCTTCACACTCTGCAACTTGAAAAGCTCTTCTACTTCTGAGGAGTAAATTTATTTTCCTTTTTATTTCCTGAGCTCTTCCACATCTTTATAAAGCTGTTTCACAGGTACCTCAAACTAAAAATTAAGCACGCCCATCTTTCCCAACCTGCAGTAAACCTACTCCTCCCACTGTGTCCCCCAGATCAGTAAGTGACACCCTCATTTACGTAGATGCTCAAGCCAAAGATCTGGGCACCATCCTTGATTCCGTGTCTCTTCCTTACCCCCTACATAGTTATCTGTATCTCCTGTTGACCCTTCTTCCTAAATGTCTCTCAAATCTGTTGTCTATGCTTTATCCCTATCCACCTCACAATTTTTCACCTGGATTTCTGCCTTATAATAAGTCACTAGTGTGTATATTATTCTCAGGTCTATCCAGCAAATAGAGTGGTCTATTTAAAGTGTAATATAAAATATAATGATGATTTTACTGTCTAATTTACAATACTGAATGCCCTCCCATTGACAAAAGGGCAGAAACCAAATTGCTTAAGGTGGCTTACGGCCCCCTAATGATCCAGGCCTCTGCCTACCTCTCAAACATCACCTGTCACCACTCACGCCATGATCAAGCCATAACCAAATGCTCAAATTTCCTGGATTCCTCTGTGTTTTAAACCTCCATACCTTTGCGTGAGCTATTCTTTTGGTTCACTGCACACCGTTTCTCCTTCTCTTGAAAAAGGATGTTTTTGTTGACTCTGTGAGCTAGGTTAGCTTTCCTTTCTCTTTGTTCCCCAAATGTATCATACTCTGTAACCACTTGCTCCATGCCTGTCCTTCCACTAGGGCATAGTGCTAGGAGAAAAGGCCATGTATGTTTTGTTCCTTCCAGCATCCCAGCACCAAGCACAATGTAGTCAGAATAGATACTTGTTAACTAAACGAGTAGTGTAATTCTAACTGAAAAGTAACCATTAAAAAAGAATTAAGGGTGAACATATTGTTAGAAATCTTTAATAAAAAAAATTTTTTTCCCAAAAGGCACAGCTGGTCACATTTGAGTTTGGTGAACATCTGTAACATTACAGATGTACATCCCAACTGTTAAGTCTGCAGTCAGATTTACACTTCATCAGACCTACAATCAGGTGGGTGTTGAGCTGCCCAAGTTGGACATCTGGGCTGACTCATTTTAATTGGACTGTGAGGTTAGCTTTCACAGCTGTTGTACAGTTGTCGCTGTCAATCATTTGGCTTTTAGATCAGAGCTTAACTGACTCAGAGGAAGAAAATAACAAACAGCTTTTCAGAAGACTTATTTTTCAGTTTTTAGCAGAGAACAAGTAGCATCCTTCCCCACAGATGTCCATGGGCAGCTGTCGCAGATGATGCATATTCACAAGAAAATAAAAATAGGGAATGAAACTTGGAGATGTATTCCTAAGTTTCTAACTTGTCCTCAGTAGATGAAATTTTAATATATGGTCTTTGAAAATAAAAACAGTTTTCCCCAAATGCTAAAAACAAAGGTAGAGTTTTCTCTCTAGGCACGAAAAAAAAAACAAAAACAAAAAACTATACCTGTTGCCGTTGAGCTGATTCCAACTCATAGCGACCCTATAGGACAGAGTAAAACTGCCCTATAGGGTTTCCAAGGCTGTAAATCTTTACAGAAGCAGACTGCCACATCTTTCTCCTGCAGGGCAGCTAATGGGTTTGAACCAACAACGTGTCAGTTGGCATCTGTGTGCTTTACCACTGTGCCACCAAGGCTCCTTCTCTCTAGGGAGAAGTGTAGAAGCTTCCCTCTATTCATTTAACAAATATTCACTGGGCACTTCAGGCTTGTAATAAGAGCTGTGGTGGAATTACATTTTGATATATTTAATCATGTGCTTTGGTTTTCTACTTCTTTTTACCCTGAGGCTCTTCAGACAACAGCTGGGCATTCTATTTGTATGTGTCAGGGAAGGGATTTTACACAGAAAAAAAAAAAAAAAAAAAAAAAAATCCTGGGCCTATGAGCTTCAAAACAAAGACTTGGGGGCATAACATTTTGAAAAGCCATGTAATCAGTCAAACAATTTTTCCACCCCTAGATTAGACAAAAAGTCTATGCCAAGAGAAACGAAAGCAGTGAAGAAGGGAAGGGGGGTGGGTGGAAAAGAGAAAGGAGAGAGGAGAGGAAGGGAGGAGAAAGAAGGGGAGATGAGGGAAAGGTGGAGCCAGAGGGAAGCAAAAGCATGAGATTCTGGGAGATCCCTCATACGGGGCTCTGTTCTAACCTCCGTGGACTTCACCCAGCTGTTGAGAAAGATGAACCTCCAGATAGGTTTGGGGACCTACGGGTAAACAGAAACCCATTCCACCTTTCCCTAGTAGGGTGGGGAACAAGCATCATGGCAGAGGAGAACAAGACATCAGAGTTTTCCTATGTTCATCATTGTATCAGATAAGATCCAGTGAGGGAAACAGAAACTAATGAATATTTAAAACTGAGGAATTTTAATTGTAATTGGGAATTGGTTACATAGGTGATAGAGAAACTGAGAAGCCAACCAGGATAATGACACAATCTAGAGATTAGCAGCAGCAGGAAGCCACTGCTACCCCTATGGTGGAAGGACAGAGGGAAGAAGTGATGTTATTGGGGTCCAGGGGCCAAGGTCACCCAGCGAAACTGGAGCCCTAGTAGGCCTGTTCAGAGGCAATGGACCACAGATGAAATGCAGCTGTTGATGATGATACAAAGAAAGGTAGAGAAAATCCTGGCCTCTCCCTTCTTCTGACTTTCCAATCTCTCACAAATACCTCTTAAGGGCTAAGCCCAACTGCAATCTAGCTGATATGGGAAGTTAAACCTGCATAGGTCAGCCACTCTGTAGCAGAGCAGGGGTAAGGGTGAGGCATGGGTCTGAGGACAAATACACCGATGAGAAAATGTCTGCCTGGGATATCTAGGACTATGGACCTAAGACAGCCTCACAGATACCCCAAGCAAGGCTCACACAGGACAAGGGAGTCTGAAGACTTGAAGGCGCCTTGGAATTGGAACAAGGAAGGCACATCAGGGATCTACCTCAACAGGAAATCAAAAACACATGGGCCCTCAGACATCTCAGTGGATTCCAGCTTGGACAGAGGACAACTCTGGGAGGACCAGACAGTGACCCCACAATGATGAGTTGGTTCCATGTAACTGCTCCCCACTCTCACTCGAATACCACACTTAGATGATACTCCAAAGAAGAGGGGAGGAGACCATCTCGCAGAATGGAGGCTGAATTGAAGTTCACTCGTAGATAAAGAAAGGAAGGAACCTAAATTGTTGAACAGAGACACAGTCCTTCATCTAAAAGAGCTCACTGAATGGTGGGGAAGAATGGACACAACACACGTGACTGTGCAGTCAGAAACAGATCATGTTAAAGGACGCACAGGAGCTGGAGATGCACATAGAGAAGTTCCGCACAGACTGGTGATATTTGATCAGAGCCTTGAGAAATGAATAGAGATTTAACAAGGAGATCTGGGGAAGGACAGGCATTATTAATGTCAGAGGAAACAGCATATGCAATGCATGGAGGCATGGGAATATTTCAGGAGAAGCATTAAATGTAGCTTGAGATGGTACTTACTTGATAGATTTTTGTGGGCATGTGATATTTTTGCAACATGAAACTTGGAATAAAGTTTCCAGGAAACAGGAATGAAAATAGAGAGGAAGCAAGGTAAGTAAAACAAAATAAAAACAGAGACTTGAGAGTACAATTAGACTTGGAATTTACAAATCAGTATCATTTTAACTTTCAGAGTCTCTTTCTAAAGGATTCTCACCTCTCTGTTATCTTCCTATATCTCTCCCAGTGCACTGATTTTGAAGAGAAGCCAGTACACTTCTTATCTAACTCTCATATACTTTGGACATGTTATCAGGAGGGATCAGTCCCTAGAGAAGGATATCACACTTGGTAAAGTAGAAGGTAAGCAAAAAAGAAGAAGACCCTCCAAGAGATGGATTGACACAGCGGCTGCAACAATGGGTTCAGCCATAACAACGATTGTGAGGATGGCTCAGGACCGTACAGTGTTTCATTCTGCTGCATGCAGGGTCGCTATGAATAGGAACCAACTCGACGGCACCTAACAACATCACTATTCCAGAAACAGTATTTATAAATTTGCCTCCTATAATTTAATAATTTAAGAAACATTATCAAATATTATTAAGAAATAGAAATTGTGGTTCTCTCCATTGTTTACAAAATGTCAACTGGTTATATTGCAGAAAATAATAAGTCACTAAACTGTTTCAAACTGTTTTGTTTTTTTACCTCATTAGAGATGACTGTTCCAGAGAGATCTACAGATACCAAGGAAAAGATGTTTACAATATGCTCAACTCCTAGGTCAGTCAAATGTTCACAGTTTCGTAAATTCAAGTAGTTTAAATTAGGGCACCTGGAAGAAAGAAGCATGAAAAATTAACTTTAGCTTTCAATTGTGTTATCAATAGCAATTTCTTAAAATAAAAACTATCTGGGGAAAGCAAGTGATATCGAAGCAAGGTGTTCCCTTCACACAAAAGTAAGCTTAAAAGTAGAAAATAATTCGGAATTGCAAAGTTGGACGAAAGGGAGGAAGATTATTATATATAAGTCTTTCTATGATTTAGTTTCATATTGCAATTACAATTTCTAATAAGATAAAAATATGTGCACTCAAAAAACTATCAAGTAAGTACTGTGATAAATGACCACTAAAAGTTCAAGGTTAAGTTTCTCATTTATGCTTTACAAGTTTGCTATAGAAATTTGGCTTGCCCTTTAGTGAACATAGACCTCTGATAAGTATGAAGGGTTAAGGATAAACCCACCAGCCATAACACCCCTAGGGAAACACTGCAACAAAGGTTTACACAGAGATAACATCCTTGAAAAGTGCACAGATGTCACCCATGTCTACATATGAATGACTATCCCAAACTCTCTTAGTTGAAAGTAACATATCAGATATAATCAAAAGGTTAGTACAATCTGTGACTTCTGTCTTTTATCTGGTTTCACTGAGCATTGATTGGGCCAATTTCTGGTCATCCCTGATATTTTCCAAATGATTTAAGTCTTGCTTTTAGATCTATCTCTGATCTCTCCTATTAGCAAATATACAATTGCTAATGATATGATATAAAATAGTGTTCTGTCATACCGCTCTGATAGTCTCACAATGGAAGCATCACCCAGGTGGATACAGTTGCTTAAATTTAGCTCTCTTATCTTTGTACTCACAGGACCATCAAGCATTTGCTTGACTCCTACATCACCAATTCTGTAGGAAAGAGTGAGAAAAACGGTACATGTGATTTTTTATATAAATAAACAGAATACTATTAAAAGAATAGTTACTATATACAATACATGTCAAAATAACTAATATCTATACACTGGTATTTTGTCAACATTTTAAAACCAAATTTGATTATGTAGTTTTTAATGTCATAGAAAAGGTATAAATGATAGTAATGGAAAAAGTATGAATAACAATGCTATTCTTGTTCATTTGTTCACTTAATTAGGTGGCATGATTATAAGACAGAGAGCCTTTAAGGTCTCTTTCTCTTGGATTAAAATGTGATCAGGTTAAGCAGTCCCTGATGCAATCGCCTGCAATAGGAAAATACGAAAACTTAATTGAGCGGGAGAACAAAGACTAACAGTCAACTACTGCCACAGTCTGGGAGGATTTTCCACTAAACACAAGGTCAATGAAATTGGACAGGAAACCCAACAATGACCTATGAATTCTTTCCTTCTGTATCAGAGAAAACCTGAGGCTGAAAGAAAGCCCTGACCTCAGCCTTCCCACAATGTCTGTCCGTAATCAGAGACGCATTTCGTGTGTCAGCACCATCCCTACCAGGTAGGTCTTGCTTTATAAAGTGGTCGGAGGCGTATTTGGCCATCATTTCCTTGTCCTCCATTGGAACCATTATTTCTAATTCCATTTGGAGACCACCGCGTCTTCTAAAAAGCATTTGAGGAAGTAAAGCAGGACAGGAGATTGCACATTACATCCTGAGAGAGGCAGTTTTCACACACAACCACCCCACAGGCAGGTGTACAGATGGGAAGAGACCTAGGAGCAGATATACTGAGAACCGACATTTTGTATAGCTTCCATCTGGTCAGGTTTACAAAGAACTGAGAAGCACAGGCAGGAGATCCCATTTCAGTTGAATGGGGCAGAGTAGGTTAGTGCCTGCTGTCCCCATTAACCCACCTTCCACCTGTAATTTGAGAGGGGAATTTGACAGCACCTGGGAGAACCATTAAGGGCAAGGGGCAGGATGGGGTGGGAAGTTGGGGCGGTGGGGGTGGGGGAGGACGGAAGAGGACCCAAATGCAGCAACAACAAAAGTTGCCATCAAGTCAATTCTGACTCATGGCGACCCCCTGTGTAACAGAGTAGAACTGCTCCATGAGGAAACCTATGCTGTCATTGGGTGCTGTCAAAACAATGTCAACTCAGGCGACCCCGTGTGACAGAGTAGAACTGCCCCACAGGGTTTTCTTGGCTGTAATCTTTACGGAAGCAGATTGCCAGGTCTTTCTCCCACAGAGCTGCTAGACGAGTTCGAGCCACCAACCTTCTAGTTAGCAACCAAGCACTTAACTGTTTGTGCTACCTGGGCTCCTGGGACAACTTAAACATCTTATCTATTGGCAAACACCAGGGCTGGATTTTTTATCAAGAGATGTTTTTACTGACAAGAACAGAAAACACTGCAAGGGATTCGTTAAGACTGAGAAAACATACCCCTGAAAACGATTTTAAAAAGAAAATAGAAGAACATTACAATATTTTAAACAATGTGAAAGAAAAGTAGGAAGTAATAAAGAGAGATCTGGTTGAAATAAAAATGAAGATAGTCTAAGATGAATTCTTAGTGGCCAGCTGAGATCAAAACAGATGGCCAAGAAACTAAATATTTAGTGATAAGAATAGTAATCTGATTTAAGGCATCAAAACAAAAAATAACCCTTTATAAAATTAAATCAGTAAGTAGAGGGCATATCTGAGAAGTTCCTTTGGAATGTAGAAGAAAAGGATGAAAAGTTAAAAATAAATCAGATAGAAAGTAGAGAATTAAGTTTCAAGCCTGGAATAAAGGGGTTCTCGAGAAAGATATAAGTACAAATAAAAACAAATCAATACTCAGAGGTATATGAAAGCTTTTTAAATAGCAAAACACAATCCATACATTAAAAAAGAGAACACAAAAACACGGAAGCAAATATAATTCCAAATAGTAGAACACACGGAAGAGAACAAAGAAGACCAAATACATAAATTTTATAATAATCATAAATATAGTTTAAAATATGCCCTATTAAAAGAGATTTTCAAATTGACTTAAGAAAATCTAAACTACAAGTCTACAAGAAACACATTTAAAATAAAATGACAACAAAAACAAAGATATTGCAAAGATGTTTTAGGCAAACTTAAAATTAATACAGGAGTGGAAGTTTTATATTGAGTCAAAGTACTATGCTAGTAAAAATATTAAAACTAACAGGATTATTTTATATTGATTAAAGATATGACCCCAATGAAAATAATTTGACTGGATATAGAATATTGAAATCATATCCTTTTCTCCCTTGAAATGATATACAGTAAAATGGTGCAATGGTGTAACTATGGGGAAAAAATTATAT